GTATAGTAAGATACCTCACAGTAGAGTATTCCCAGTTCCTCTCTCACCCCTTATGACATTTATGTCATTCATTTCACTTATATATATAATTGTTCAATACATTGCTACAGCTATTAATTAAAACAAATGATTTCGGGCTGGGTACAGTGGCTCACACCTGTAATCCCAGAACTTTGGGAGGCTGAGGCGGGTGGATCACGAGGTCAGGAGATCGAGACCATCCTGGCTAACATAGTGAAACCCTGTCTGTACTAAAAATACAAAAAATTAGCCGGGCATGGTGGCACGCACCTGTAGTCCCAGCTACTCGGGAGGCTGAGGCAGAAGAATCGCTTGAACCCAGGAGCAGAGGCTGCAGTAAGCTGAGATTGTGCCACTGCACTCCAGCCTGGGGGACAGGGCGAGATTCCATCTCAAAAAACAAAACAAAACAAACAAAACAAAACAAAAACAAAAATGATTTCTTTTCACTCAAGAACAAGATAAACAAAATATTTTATTTTAGCTTCATTTATTCCTTCTCCAACACTCTTGCTTTTTAATGTAGATCTGATTTTCTGAACAATATCGTTTTTCTTCTCTCTGAAGAACTTTAAACATTTCTTGCAGTATAGATCTGCTAACAACAAATTTTTTTTTTTTTGATCTGACGAGGTCTTCATTTCTCCTTCATTTTTGAAGGATAATTTTGTGGGATATGAAATTCTAGATTGGTGGGGTCAGGGGTTCTCTCATTAAATTAAATATTTCACTCAGAAATCTGTAATTCTTATCTTTGTTCTCTATTGGTGATAGGGTTCAGCTGTTAGCTGAACAGCTGATAGACAACAGCTGTTCTCTATGGGTGACAGCTGAACCCTATCACCAATAGATGATTGGGAGCGCCCCACCCAAATCTCAGGTGGAGATAATTGAATCACGGGCGTGGTTTCCCCCATACTGTTCTTGTGGTAGTGAGTAAGTCTCAAGAGAGCTGATGGTTCTATAAAAGGGAGTTTCTCTCCACAAGCTCTCTTGCCTGCCATCAAGTAAGACGTGACTTTGCTCCTCATTCGCCTTCCGCCATGATTGTGAGGCCTCCCCAGCCACGTAGAATTGTGAGTCACTTAAACCTCTTTCCTTTATAAATTACCCAGTCTCAGATATGTCTTTATTAGCAGTGTGAGCACAGGCTAATACAATAGATAAGGATTTTTTTTTTCATCTTTTTCAAAATTTTCTCTTTGTCTTTGGTCTTCTGTGGTTTGAATATGATATACAAATATGTAGATTTTTTGGGTATTTACCCTCTGGTCTTCTCTGAGCTTCCTGGATCTTGGTTTTGTGTCTGTCATTAATTTGGGGGAAATTCTCAGCTTTAATTACATCAGATATTTCTCTTACTTCATTATCTTCTTGTCCTTCTGGTATTCCAATTGTGTCTATTATACGTTTTAAAATTGTTCCACAGGTGTTGGATGGCCAATTCCATTTTGTTCATTCGTTTATCTCCTTTGTGTTACAGTTTCGGAAGTTTCTATTACAAACCTTCCATCTCACTGATTCTTTCCTTGGTCATGTCCCGTCTACTGATGATATGGGAGTTAAGAAATAAGGCAGATAGTGAGGGCACGGAAGTCCTTGGTAAGGTTTTTCTTTTTTTTTTTTTTTGAGACGGAGTTTCGCCCTTGTTGCTTAGGCTGGAGTGCAATGGCGCGATCTCAGCTCACCACAACCTCCACCTCCCAGGTTCAAGCGATTCTACTGCCTCAGCCTCCCGAGTAGCTGGGATTACAGGCATGTGCCACCACGCCCAGCGAATTTTTTATATTTAGTAGAGACAGGGTTTCTCCTGTTGGTCAGGCTGGTCTCAAACACCTGACCTCAGGTGATCCGCCCGCCTCGGCCTCACAAAGTGCTGGCATTACAGGTGTGAGCCACTGCGCCTGGCCCAGGTTTTCCTTTTAATGAAAAGCAGCCCCAATATCATTTTCTTTTCTAACAAAGAGCAGCCTGTAAAATCGAGCTGCAGACATAGACAAGCAAGCTGGAAGCTTGCACCGTTGAACGCCAGCAGTTGTGCCAATAGGCAAGGCTACCTGGGACTAGACACGTTCAAAATGGCAGCTCCATGTTCCCTCCTCTTTGCCAGCCATGTTTACAGTAAGGAGCAGGCAACATGGCACCAGCCAAGCAAAGACTCCATTTGCATAATAACATTAGGCTGGGGCAACCAGCTTCCTCGCGCACTCTATAAACATCACACTTGGTCCAACCAATCTGTGGGCCCTTTGTAAATCAGACAGCAACTCCTCAAACCTGTCTATAAAATCCGGTGCACTCCGTGGCAGGCAGGAATTCCCATTCGGGTGCCCCTCTTTCCGAAGAAAAGAGAGCTGTTCTCCCTTCTCTTTTTCTTGCCTACTAAACCCCTGCTCTTAAACCCACTTCCTGGGTCCGTGTTCCCAATTCCCTTGGTGTGAGACAGTGAACCTCAGGTATTTTACTCCAGGCAACGCCACTTCACTGATAAGCCCATCAAAGGCATTCTGCATTTTTGTTACAATGTGGTTGATTTCTAGCATTTCCTTTTGATCCTTTCTTAGAGTTTCCATTTCTGTTATTCCATTACCTGTTGCTGCTTGTTGTCTACTTTTTCCATTAGAGCCCTATAGTAATCATGGTTATTTTAATTTCACTGATAATTCAAAAATCTGTCTCATATCTGAGTCTGGTTCTAATGTTTGCTTCATCTTTCAGACTTTGCTTTTTCTGGGTTTTTTTTTGGTTTTGTTTTTTGTTTTTTTTTGTCTTTCTCTTTTTTAGAGTGTCTGGAAATTTTTTTTGTTGAAAGCCAGACATGGCAATGTATTTATTAGGTAATAGGAAGCGAGGTAATAAGGCATTTGGGTGAGTTTTTATGTTATCTGACTAGAAATTGGGCTGTACTTAATGTTAGCTGTAACTGTAGGTTCAAACTTCTCTAGTGTTTTTATTATTATTATTATTTGAGATGGAGTCTCGCTCTTGTTGCCCAGGCTGGAGTATGGTGGCACCATCTCAGCTCACCGCAACTTCCACCTCCCAGGTTCAAGCGATTCTCCTGCCTCAGCCTCCCGAGTAGCTGGGATTACAGGCATGTGCCACCACTCCCAGCTAATTTTGTGTTTTTAGTAGAGACAGGGTTTCTCCGTGTTGGTCAGGCTGGTCTCGAATTCCTGACCTCAGGTGATCCATCCGCCTCCACCTCCCAAATCGCTGGGATTACAGTCATGAGCCACCACGCCCCACTAGTGTTCTTATTTTTGTCTCCCCTGTTGACTCTGGGCTTCCCTAAGAACTCCTCCTCAGGCTGGGCGTGGTGGCTCAAGCCTGTAATCCCAGCACTTTGGGAGGCCGAGACGGGCGGATCACGAGGTCAGGAGATCGAGACCATGCTGGCTAACACAGTGAAACCCTGTCTCTACTAAAAAATACAAAAAATAGCCGGGGGAAGTGGTGGGCGCCTGTAGTCCCTGCGACTCGGGAGGCTGAGGCAGGAGAATGCGCAAACCCGGGAGGCGGAGCTTGCAGTGAGCTGAGATCCGGCCACTGCACTCCAGCCTGGGCAACAGCGCGAGACTCTGTCTCAAAAAAAAAAAAAAAAAAAAAAACTCCTCCTCAAACAGACTCTGCAGCTTGCAGCTCTTTATCTTCTAAGAACAAATTCAAAGAAATGCAGGGAATCAAAAACATTGTAACAATAATCCGCTGTCATTATACTGAAGCCCTCTTGGCGTGGTGGTAAGATATGGAGGAAGTGAAGCATTCTGGATCTTATGGTTAAATCCCAGTGTATTATGGGCCTGTGTCCCTGGGCTATGACCTTCACAAGTGTTTCTTGTCTTTCCCCCTCCTTAAGTGAGAAGGCTAAAGGGGCTGAAGTGGGAGAAGTGGGAGAAATGTCCTTCCCCAGAAAGGCTCTGATAAAGCCTTTTCTACTGGAGAGTTCCCTCTGGTGGCAGAAGCTTGGGGCATGTTTCACAATGGTTATTCCTCCTTCCGTCTCCCAGAGCCACGAGGGGATTTATTTTGATTCTTCATCATGAGGACCAGATGGGCTTTCTGGAAATAAAAGTTATGTAAGTGTGAGAGTCCCCTTAGACTGAGGGCCAGGCATTTTTAATTCGCAAGTTAGTGCACATACAGCCTTCAGCCATTCATCAAAATAGCCAGGTCAGTGTTCCTACCAGGTTATGACTCTCCCAGCTTCTGTTAGGAGCAGATACTGGTTGTGACTATCTGGATTTGCACGTCTCTGCAGTTTGGGGTGGTAGTTTACTCTGTAACCTCAATTATCTGATAGGTCCGGGAAAAGTCATGAGTTTTCATTTTTCCAGCTTTTCCTGTTGAAAGACCAGGAGCGACCATTTCCAAACTCATTACATGTCAGAGTTGCAGTCAGAAGGCTCCTAGATATTTGAGTTACTGTATACTTCCGAGCTCAAGAAGATGTGGCAAATGTGATATAGTATTCCCAGAGTAATGATCTATCCCAAGTTTGGGTAGAAGTATTTTCAACTTGCTCTGGTACTGTATCCAAAAATAATCGTTGATACATCATATCAGAATGCACCATTTTAGGGCAAGAATGTCATGCTGCCAGTGATTTGTTGATGTGATTGTCACATTTAGACTGCTTTCCCCACCCCAAAGGCTATAAGTTACTCCTTTCCCTTCTCCCCAATGTTGAGTATCATTTACTGAGAAAGTTTTACATATATATGTGTGTGTGTGTATATGTATATATATACACACACACGCTGACAGCTCTTAGTCATGAAATACTTTTATGTGTTTTGTTAAACTTATTCCTACTGTGATATAAAATCATATTGTTATATTTCTTGTTTCATTTCCTGTGAACTTGGAAACTTAAAACTCTTTGTCTCATTGTAAAACAGATCATGACATTTTATAGTTGAAGTAATCAGGGCTGATAATAGGGTGCCAAATTTGCAGAGGCACAGAAAAACTCAGCGATTGAAATAAGTAATATTTTAATGCAATACTTTTAGTTAATGTAAAACATTTATAATGAACAAAATATGAATGTTTTCAATACCATCAGGACCAATATATTATCTTGTCTAAAGAGTGGAAATCCTTCCCATGTGGGCCAAGCATGGAACCTACTCTTTTATTGCTCAGCACAACTGAGACAGGTTGCAGTCTTTAATAAGACTCAAAGTTCAGGACTGAACTCAAATGACAGAAAGTCATTTCAATGCAATACAGTTTTATTTCAGCTGCCAATGGATTCTGCAGCTTTCAGAGCTCTTCAGGCAGGAGCCATCTTTACTGGGTGCCTTGGCCCAATGTGCATGAGGATAGAGGGTATGTAACCCTCTACCCAGACAGAGTACCCTTGAGCTAGTCTCCTGACACTAGTGTCCTTTGCTGCCAGCAAAGATCTACACAGCAGAAAGAGGTGCCATACACTTTCTCCTTGCCAAGCCAATCTAAGGACTGAGTTGTCAGTCCTAATTTCTTCATTTAGAATGCATCTCTTTCTGAAATAACTGATGATGAGAATATCCTTTTGGATCAACAAAATCCTTGCTTATGGGGCTTGGAATCTGTCATAGGGCATCAGTAGGAAATCACATCAGAGTACATTAGTATCATATCAGAACCTTTCTCCAAATATGTATGATTCTGTTTTAATAGCTTCACATGCAGGAGATCAAAAGTATAGTCCGACCTCAATTCCACTTCGTCACTTGACTTCCCTCTTCGTGTGAGATGAAGATCTGCCCTCACGTAGCTTCTTTCAATGGCTAAGTCTCAACCCCGGATCACTCATGAGTAATTTCTGTAACAACAGAAGCAACAACAAGAATAACACACACACACACACACACACCCTACCTCCATAGGAAAGAGTGGCAGATCATAGGCATAGTGTAGCTTATATTTAAAAAGGGAAATAAACTCTTTATAAAAATGCCATCTGGCCAGGCACAGTGGTTCACGCCTTTTTTCTCAGCACTTTGGGAGGCTGAGGCGGGCGGGTTACAAGGTCAGGAGATTGAGATCATCCTGGCCAACATGGTGAAACCCCGTCTCTACTAAAAACACAAAAATTAGCTGGGTATGGTGGCACGTGCCTGTAATTCCAGCTACTCGGGAGGCTGAGGCCAGGAGAATCACTTGAACCAGGGAGTCAGAGGTTGCAGTGAGCCGAGATCGCACCAGCCTGGTGACAGAGCGAGACTCCATCTCAAAAAAAAAAAAAAAAAAAAGTGCTACTCTATGTCCTCACCTCTTTTTGTCTCACTCTTGCTCTCTCATGATTTCACAGAACATTCTACCTCCTTAGAAATTACTCTTTTGGTTAAACTATCAGCTTAATATGGGTATAATCAAATAATCCCTTCTGGTGGTTTTCCCAGAAGCAAGGCCTCAGGATATATTTAGGTCTTGCCTCCTGCAGGGTTTCTACCAGCATATTTAAGGTTTTGAAAATATCAGAACCAAATTTTACCTAGGGCACCATGTTACAATTACCGTAATGTATTTTAACACATCCTCACCAGTTACTAATAAAAATTTCAAAATTTCACTGGTCCTAAAAATAAGGACAAATTATGAGATGCTTATAAAGTTAAATGTATTTAGTTTAAAGGATACTCCTTTCTTCTTTGATTATATCCTTAGTACATCATTTTTTTGTTAATAATTTCTTTTATTAAATTATGATAATGTCATAGGTTTTGTTTTGTTGTTTGTGGCTTGTTTGGCTTTCAGAAAGGGTCTTGCTGTGTCACCCAGGCTGGAGTGCAGTGGCACCATCATGGCTCACTGCAGCCTCTACCTCCTGGGCTCAAATAGTCCTCCTACCTCAGCCTCCTGAATAGCTGGGACCACAGGCATGCATGACCATGCCTGGCTAATTTTTAAATTATTTTGTAGAGATGGGGTCTCACTATGTTGCCCAGGCTGGTCTTGAACTCCTAACCTCAAGCGGTTCTCCTGCCTTAGCCTCCTCCCACAGTGTCGGGATTGCAGGCATGAGTCACTGCACCCAGCCATGTTTTTTAATCCTGATTTTGCAAAATACAAATTTTGAAAGCATGTGTCATCCACCTCAGGTTGTTGGCTTGTGGGTTTGTTGTTGTAGCTTGCTGTGGGCTGAATTATATCCCCCCATCCCCAAGCCCCTAATTCATATATTGAGGTCCAAACCCCAGAAACTCTGAATGTGACTGTATTTGAAGAGAGAGTCTTTAAAAAGGTAAATTAATTAAAATGAGTTATTAGGGTGGGCCTAATTACCCACCTTTTGACTGCTATCCTTATAAGAGGAGGCACTTTGGATACAAACAAGCAACAGAAGGAAGATGACATGGCCGGGCATGGTGGCTCATGCGTATAATCCCAGCATTTTGGGAGGCCCAGGCAGGTGGGTCACCTAAGGTCAGGAGTTTGAGATAAGCCTGGCCAACATGATGAAACCCCATCTCTACCAAATCATACAGAAATTAGCCAGGCGTTGTGGCATGTGCCTGTAATCACAGCTGCTTGGGAGGCTGAGGTGGGAGAATCTCTTGTACCCAGCAGGCAGAGGTTGCAGTGAGCCAAGATGGTGCCATTGCACTCCAGCCTGGGTGACAGAGTGAGACTCTGTCTCAAAAAAAAAAAAAAAAAAGAAAAAAAAAAGGAAGGAGAGAGAGGAAGGGAGGGAGGAGGGGAAAGAAAAGAAAGATGATGTGAAGACACAGGGAAAAGAAATCCGTCTAAAAGTCAAGGAGAGAGAAGTGGAACAGGTCCTTCCTCAACACCTCAGAAGAAACCAACCCTGATTTTGAATTGCCAACTTCCAGAATTGTGAGGAAATAAATTCCTGTGTTAAAGCCACCTAGTCTGTAGGACTTTGTTATGTCAGCCTTAGGAAACTAAAACGTTGTTGTTTGTATTGTTTTGCAATTTTACCCTTCTGTGAAATCCCCAAATCTTGGGAATCTCGTCTCAATTCATTAGGGGCCAGTTTTGTCTTGCACATGGGGAAGCAGGGGTCACATGTGCTTTTGTATCTCTTCACACAAAGTGGGCATCTCATCAAAATTTGCTGAAAGCTTGGGATGTAGAAAAAAATCCCTGGAAAGATCACTGGGGAAATTCTAGATAAAGAAAGTGCTTCACCACGGTCCCAGCAGATAAACTGAAAATTATCTTTTTCTCAATATTAAAATCAAATTTGACAAACAAGATTCATGTTGACAGAATTTACTTCAGAAGGATGATTTTCCTTTTTCCTTTATAGTGTTTATTCTGTCAACAAGATCAACCTTTCCTCTCTCTGGTTTTTTTTTTTTTTTTTTTCTTCATTCTCTGTTTCGCCCTTGTCATGACTATTATCTCCCTGACTCAGGAAATTTTCTGTCTCTCCTCTGTGGGTTGAAGTTACCACAGCAGATACTTACCAGGAGTCTTCCTAGCCACCTAAAGTCAAGGAATTTCATTCAAGGTCCATTTTTCATCATGTCCTGGTCGAGTCCACAGAAACCCGAGTTCTCCCTGTGCCTCTCAACTCGTTTCAGGCTGACTGTGGTGGCTCACGTCTGTAATCACAGCACATTGGGAGGCCAAAGTGGGAGGATCACGGGAGCCCAGGAGTTCAAGACCAGCCTGGGCAACAATAGGAAGACCCTGTCTTTAAAAATAATTTAAAAGTTAGAAAGACATGATGGTGCACACCCGTAGCCCCAGTTACTCAGGAGGCTGAGGCAGGAGGATCACCTGAGCCCAAGAGGTTGAGGCTGCAGTGAGTCTGTTCACACTGCTGCACTCCAGCATGGGCAACAGAGCCAGATCCTGTCTCAAATAAATAAATAAATCTCTTTTTATTAATGCAAATCAAAACCACAGTGAGATACCATCTCCCACCAGTCAGAATGGCTACTATAAAAAAGTCAAAAAATAACAGATGCTGGTGAGGTTGCAGAGATAACGGAATGTTCATACATTGCTGGTGCTCACGTAAATTAGTTCATCCACTACAGAAAGCAGTTTGGTGATTTCTCAGAGAACTTAAAACAGAATTACCATTCGACCTTAGCAATCCCATTATTGGGTATATACTTAAAGGAAGATAAATTATTCCACCATAAAGACCACATGCACATGCGTGTTCACTGCAGCACTATTCACGGTACCAAAGATGAGGAATCAATCTGCATGCTCGTCAATGGTAGACTGGATAAAGAAAATGTGGTATAGGCCAGGTGTGGTGGCTCACACCTGTAATCCCAGTACTTTGGGAGGCCGAGGTGGGCAAATCATGAGGTCAGGAGATCAAGACAATCCTGACTAACATGGTGAAACCCCATCTCTACTAATAATACAAAAACAAAACTAGCCGGGTGTGGTGGCAGGCACCTGTAGTCCCAGCTACTCGGGCGGCTGAGGCGGGAGAATGGCGTGAACCCAGGAGGCGGAGCTTGCAGTGAGCTGAGATCTCATCACCGCACTCCAGCCTGGGTGACAGAGCAAGACTCTATCTTAAAAAAAAAAAAAAAAAAAAGAAAAAGAAAAAAATGTGGTACAATACAGCATGGAATACTATGCAGCCATAAAAGAAGAATGAGATCATGTTCTTTGCAGAAACATGGCTAGAGCTGGAGACCATTATCGTAAGTGAACAAAGGCAGGAACAGAAAACTAAATACTGCATGTTCCCACTTATAAGTGGGAGCTAAGCATTGAGAACACATGGACACAAAGAAGGGAACCACAGACACCAGGGCTTAGTGGAGGGTGGGTGGAGGTTGAGGATCATAAAACTACCTATGAGATACTATGCTTATTACATAGGTGACAAAATAATCTGTACATCAAACCCCCTTGATAATTTACCTGTATAACAAGCTTGCACATGTATCCCTGAACCTAAAATAAAAGTAAAAAAATAAAACCCATTTCATTGCCTCAGTGGCTGTTTTGAGAGCATTGAGGCTATGAGAGCATGGTGAGGCTCATTTTCCCCTCTTCCTACCCATCTCAGACCCATCCCATTTCCCCATTAAACCCTGACTCATACTTCTGTCTGGACACTCTGAACCCCAACGGCATGGTCTTTTGGCATCCAGAGCTGTTGGTGGCGCTGAAGGACTGAACACGCCTGCTTTTCTCAGGCAGAATTCCAACAAAACGTCCCCACGCTGGTCACTGTTACTGGTTCACAGGTATAAAGCAGAAACAAGGATTCTTAGTTGGTGTGTATTGTACCAATGACATCTCACAATCTTGCCTTGAATTTCCTTCAGCTTGGCGAAAACCTTTTCTTCACTGGGCATCCAATATCTTACTATAAAAAATGGACTTTTATAGATCCTGAGGCAAAACTTGGGTTTAAAAAAACTGAATGTAAACAGGTAAAATTATCTACCTTTAGACAGAAAAAGGACAATCATTTTCTAAAACAAGGTTAAAATGCAAATTATCTTAATTAGAAAAATCACCCATTACATAAAGTATAACAAAAAACAGTCCTAAATGAGATCCTCCTTGAAAATCATGGTCTCATGGAAGCAGGTTTCGTAACAGAAAACATTTGTGTAACCTCAGCTCTAGCATTTTCCATTTGCGAATATCACAATATGCTCTGTGGGGAGTGTTAATGAATACATCTGTTTGCCTCCTTGCATAGTTGAATAATATCTGAAAAGAGATCTGTTTTCACATTTCAGAAAGATATCCAGTAAGTTCTTGTTGATGAACAGTGTTAAGTTACGTAAGTTCCCTTACCTTGCCGTTTAGCGCTAAGAGATATGAGTCCCTAAACAGCTGCTAAAACTCAAAGATATGTTATTTACTTTGGAGCCATAAAGTGCCCAGGCAGACATTTTCATCCAAACATCTGTTAATTTTCACTCTGAACCATTACCACTCCTTTTCATAAACAGTATCGTCCTTGCTTTGGACTTCCTCTATAGTCTGTCATGACTTCCTGCAGGGAGAAAAATGGTGCAACAGCCCAGAGCTAGAAATGTAGCCCTAAGAGGTCCATTTACTACTTTCTACAGAGCAGAGAAGCCATATGAAAGGCTGTAATTGCTACTACCTCAGTGTATTGCTGCAGTTCAGAGCATAGGCAGATCGGTCATTGCAAAGAGCAGCAGTTTCACAGCTTCCAAACTCACAATGGCTTTGTTTGTGTGTGTGTTTTGCTGACTCGTGGAAGATCAGGTAAATGAGTTCACTCAGCCCCTCTGATTCCAAAAATGGAATCCTGATGTTCTGCCATGCTCTCATTTCCATTTTAGCATTGCCCCCAAATACGTTTCCTCTTGATTTGGCCACATTATTAGATTTGTATCCTCCTTCCCCTGCTGCTATGTACCGCATGTGTGGGATACCTTTGCCATAGTGACATCAACTGGAACAAGTTGGAACTGAAATCTCTAAGCATCACAGGACCCCCCAGATTCACATTTTTTTTTTCTACGTGACTTAGAAGTACAGCTCTAATAATCGCTGTGCCATAAAAATAATCCCAGTTGGATTTGAAAGTAGACTTTGCACATTCCAATATAAATGATAAAAATAATTTTACATGTGTACACTAATGGCCATGAGAACTGACTAGTCCATATATTTAGGCTCATACTTCGGAAAACATGCTGGCAATAATGATGTAAGAATGATTCTTAACTTTCACATTTTTAGGAAGACTTCTACATAAATTCATATGAATTGCCAGTTAATACTTATATTTTTGGATTAAACTTTACTGAAATATTCATTTATTGGGCAAATATATATTTGGAAATCAGATTTATGTAAGGCACTAATAAAGATTAAGATATTTACACAAAGATGTATGAATCTTGGATGTTCCCTTGGGTGTAAATCCCTGGAATTTACAGCACAACTATTAGGTTGGTGCAAAAATAGTTGTGGTTTCTGCCATTAAAAGTAATTGCAAAAAATCGCAATTATTTTTGCACCAACCTAATAGATAAAACCCATTTACAATACAATTGGATAATTCCAATTGGGAACCAGCTGAAGACCTCGCAACAGTGGTGTAAAACTAGCTGCGTTGTGCAGGGAGATACCAGAGTGGATAGCGCAGGAATGGTCAGGATATTACATGAGTCTGGATGGAGTCAGTGAAGACTGGGCTGGAAGGCAGCTGTGGAAATGCAGTGTACGGGGTAAAGGATTTTATTCATTCAATCATCCATGTGTTCATGCTTTCACTCATCCACCATGTTTTTCAGCAATGATTTTGTGTCAGGCCCTGAAGATACTGTTGTGAATAAAACTAAATCCTGCACTATGCCAGTGGTTTTTGACAGGTGTGCTGAAGAACGACCCAATGGGACCTTATGATGGACTGGGCACAAAGAATGAGTCAGAGGAGAGAACCAAAGCTTAACACTTGGGCAAGTGCGTGTGTGTGTGTGTTTGTGTGTGTGTGAACATTGTCAGCGGTTCATTCAACATCAAGAACTGCACTACTTGTCAGAAATACAGAAAATAACAATGATAACAACAACAATAATAATTGAACACTTTTTGGAAACTATTATTAGCTCTTTGCCTGGATTATCTCATTTCATTAGCATGAATGGGAACTATTTTATACCCATTTTGCAGGTGAGAAGACTGAGGCACGCTGAATATAAGTAACTTGCTCACAGCCACCCAGTTGGTCAATGGTGGAGGCAGATGTGAGTCCAGCCAGTCTGACTTTATTGTCCCAAGGGATTCAAAGTGAGGTTCCAGAGGCAGAGCCAAAGAGCAATGGAAAGAGAACAGCTTGCATGTTTTGATAGAAGAGTGGCCAGAAAGCAGTGGCATCCACATTAGCCTGGGCAGAGGGTGGGGCAGGCAATCAGAAGGCGCTTCTTGGAGCAGATTGCTTCTTCAGCAGAGTCCAGGAATATGAGCAGCTGTTAATAAAAGGAAGAAAAAGGTAACAGCGCTCAGCAGAGGGGAATCCCCTACGAAGACCGAGCTATGCTGGAGACTTTTTAGGAGGGAATTCGGCTGCCCCAGGAAGCTCGCGATCTTGGACTCCTAAAAACCTACATCTCTTAAATGTTGACCCCACTTTGAAGGAGAGAAGAGGCCACATGGGTCTAAGGAAGGTGAGGAAGAGCAATCTCTGGTAAGAGCTCGGTTTCTCCTCTGAGGCCCAGCAATTCCAACTCCTCTGGCTGACCCCAGACTGACAAAACAAAACCCATCTTAACCAAAGTCTCAAAGGAAACTGGGGCCACCTCCAATGGTCCAGGGGCCTTCCTTCCTGGGGACAGTACTGATAAATGTGCCTTTCTCATCCTCACCATAATTCAGTGATATTTGCTGGTTCTCCTGGAGACCAGCACCCTCCTGATTAATTGCCCACTCAATCCTCTCTGAGTCCAAGGAGCTGCATTCATTCAACTTGGCCAGGAGAACAGTTTTCATGAAACATGAAAGCTGAGGTAATAATAGCAAGCGAGAATCAGCACGCAAGGAGACACATCCACCTGAGCTATGGGGAACAGTGAAGAAGAAGTTTTAGCAGAGCAGGAACATTCATTGATTGCAACCTGAAAACTTACAAAGCCACTGGAGTTGAAGAGTGCATGGAAAATTTTAGAAACCAGCGAGTTCCTCAGCATGTTCATCTATGTGAGATGACAGTTTGGTGGCCAGATAACATCTTCCAGCAGAGCAACTCCATGCCTGCGGCTGCAGAAACTTCAGGCAAATATATGCAAACTGCAGTCTGAGTATTCTATATCAGGTTGAGATTCTGACAGCTGGAAATGACAGCCCATTCTATTTTTAATTTTAGCATCTTAACCAACTCTTGGTAGGATGTGGAAAGTCAGAAAGATTTTTTGGGAAGATAAACATGCTACAATATTGCATCTGTGGATGGATGTCTCCTAGCAATGAATCCATGGACCCATGGATGCATGTTACCGAGAAGAAGCCACAGCGGATGGGGTGTGGAACTGAGACATGACTGGAGAACTTGTGGGACTTGGTGGCTGACACTGGGGCTCCAAAGAGACAAAATGGGGTACCCCAGAGAGGCAGTGGAAGGGTGTGAGGACAATGAGCCCTTCTTTGGCTGGAGGAGATTCAGTTTACAGTGGGACTTTCAAAGGAATTTGCAGCAAACAGGTAGCAATATAGAATCACACTTCAAAAAGGGAACTTGGAATGAAGTTAACCACATGGGAGTCACATCTATAGCAGCATTAAATGCGGCCAAATTGTTAGTAACTGAGATTGTAGAAAAGGGGTTCCTAAAATAGCATCAAGGCTGGTGCAAGTACAATGGTATTTACAACTTATTGATCACAGCCATTTACAGATTCCTTTGTTCTTTCTCCACCCCCACTGCTTCACTTGACTAGCCTCTAAAAAGAATCATATATATATATATGTATATATACATATATATACACACACACACACATATATATATAAAATCCCATGCCAAGGGATTGGATTCAGGGGCCTGTAACCTCCCTGAAGTCATATGCAACATTTTATGTAAATGTTACTGAATGTTAAATGGAATTTTTTATTAGGACTAGTTTCAAAATCAGGTGCCAGAGAAGAACATAAAATTTTTCATAGTGGATAGAGAAGCCACCTGAATTGCTCACCCATGTTGAGAAAATGAAATGTCCAGGAGTCGGGAACAGAGGAAGTACTGAGGGAGGTGATCTACCTGACCCTCGCCCGAGCTAGTGGTGACTGACTTCCTGCTTTTCTGGCCAGGCAGCCAAGAAGCAGCTAGGTTGAGATGGTCCAGAGCAGAGAAGGACCTGAGGTGGTCGGGATGTCAACAGGGCTCCACATACCTCAGCCAAAAGAACCAGAGCAGTCTTGGCCGAGGCAAGAGCAACCGGCAGCCAGAACGGAGAGCCTCTGTGCTGCCGTGACAGGTAGAATAACACCCCACCCGAGATGTCCACATCCTAACGCCACAACCTGTGAACTTGTTACCTTGTGGGCAAAAGTGACTTTGTAGATGTGATTAAGTTAAGGATCTTAAGATGTGAGATTATCTGAAGAGGCCCCATGTAATTAATCACAAGGGTCCTTAGAAGAGGGAGATAGTCAGAGAAGGAGACATGCTGGGATAAGTAGAGGTCAGAGAGAACTGAAGAGACTCTGTGCTGGCTTTGATGATGGAGGAAGGGGCCATAAGCCAAGCAGAAAAAACAGATTCTCCCCTAGGGCCTCCAGAGGGAGTGCGACCCAGCCAATACCTTGATTGAATGGCTGGTAACCTCCAGAATTGCAAGATAATCAAAGGGTGCTGCTTTAAACCACTGTTGTTAGTAACTAGTTACAGCAGCCACAGGAAATGAGCACAGCTGCCAGGGTAGCTGCAGGGGAGGGGCTACTAGCAATGGAGGCTGGGTAGAGGCAGGAAGGGACCCCAGAACAGCCAGTTTTAAAATTCTGCCAAGGCTGGCGAGCACAGCAGCTGCAGTCAAGTAGGAATTTTCCAGTTCTCTACATCTTCCTCCTCTGCTTGTCCTGACACAGAGGGTCCCTAAAAACCATGACGAGATGGAAGAAGTAGAGGAGATGTGGTGCATAGGGAAAAAGAGAAAGAAGCAAGCACTCCTCCCCAAATGCAAGTCTCTAGGAGGCAGAAGCGCAACTTTAAATCATGTTCGAAGTTTTGACCATCTCCAAAAACTAGCATTTCAATAACTGGATTGAGACTGTGTATATTGTCTGCGAGTCACTTGAAAAGTCACAGGGGACAAAAAGCATAGCCGACTCCATGCAAAGGAACACTAGGAAGTGAGGACAAAGCCACACATGATGACATTTCCAAGTGAAGCCTGGTCCCCATAAGGGGCACATTCTCTGTTTTCGGGGGAGTGGGCTACAGCTTCCATCAGCTTCTCAAAGGGGATTTTTACATCTGCTGAGGTTAAGAATTATGAATACGGAGGAAGAGGTCAAGGTTTGGGCTTGGAGAAGAGCTTGTATTCCGGCCTGCAGGGGAGTGGGGAGGGAATAACAAGAAGAAAAAGCAGAGGGGAAAAAAGACAAGATCAAGAGGGCTGGAGGACACGGTGTTCTTCACACTGCTTACCTCCCCATGCAGGGCCAGGAGGGCAAGTGGGCGACAGGAAGAGAACCCACGGGCTACTGGTGAGATCAACCAAGAGGAAATGCTGCCAGTGCAACCCTGCGGCCGATCGACCACCTGCGCCTCCTGGCCCGGCTTCTTTGGTGCCGCCCTCTTGCCTTGCTACCTGGGGCCTGAGGGAGCTGGCAAGGCATGTTTGCGCTGATAGAAGTGAAGGCCCACGGGCTGCCCACTGAAGTTGGAGATGAACAGTGCCAGTTCTGCACAGCTGCAAAGCGCACACGGGAGGGGATCCAGTCAGACCCTCACAGACATTGATAGGAGGGTTTCTTTGTGAGCCCCACAATCCTGCCCCACCACGTGCTGGATGCTTACATATACTATCCCTAGTCTTAGAACATCTCTGCAGGAGATGTGTAGTAAGTGTGTCTATGCCATGAACAACCTAAATCAGACAATAAAAAACAATTTCATAAATACTGTCCAGACAATTGCACAATAATCCCACTACATACTAAGCACTTACTATGAGTCAGATTCTGTTTCAATTAGTAGCAGTATGTGGCCAGCCATGAGAATTAGAGACCAAAATTATGGTGGTCGAAACACACAAGAGTTGAAAATATACTCTTATTTATATAAGCAAGAAAATAAACTTTACTATAAAAGAGTTGGGATGGCAATATAGGACTGGCACTGTAATTCCAAAGTGACAAGGGCACAAGGCACTACAATCCTTTCATCTTTTTCTGTTCCATCCTCAGAGCTCCAATAGAGCTGCTGGAGTTCCAGCCATCATGTCCTCATTCCCAATGGCAGATAAGGCAAAAATGACTCTTTGCAACTGAGTCAGCAATTTACAGAGTAAATTCCTCTATGTCTCAAACAACAATTTCACTTAGATCTTGGTCATGAGACCACCCCCACTGCAAGGAAGGCTGGGAAATGCCATCTTTATTGCAGGCAGTCCCATACTCAAAACAAAAATGCACTTCTGTTACTGAGAAAAATAAAATGAGCAGTCTCTGCCATAGGCTCTTAATTATAATACAAGAGTAACCCAATGAAAAGAGCATTGATATCCCACTTACAGTCACTCAGGGAGCTCAGGGCAGAGGCCAAGCAGACCTCACACTAGGCCCAACTGATGCCCAGCTTCTCACCTTTTTCCACTTTGCCTTTGTGCCACCAGACAAATTGAGGCCGTCCTGGAAGCACAGACAGGAGGTTGAGACAGAGCCTTTCCACAATGTTCATGCTGCAGTCATGCCAAATCCTCCATCAAGAGGGTGTGGAGGACGTGTGCCCCACTGCACTCCAAGGAGTGAACCCTAAGGTCCATGAGTTTGGGGTGTGTGTGTGCAGGTGTGTGTGTCTGTATGTGTACTGTGTGTGTTTCAGTGTGAATGTGGGTATGTACATGTGGGGGTGTGTGTCTGTGTGTGTTGTGTGTGTGTTTCAGTGTGAGTGTGGGTGTGTATGTGTAAGTATGTGTCTGTGTGTATGTTGTGTGTCTGTGTGTTTCAGTTTGAGTGTGGGTGTGTACATGTAGGTGTGTGTGTCTGTGTCATGTGTCTATGTGTTTCAATGTGAGTGTGGGCATGTACGTGCAGGTGTGTGTTGTGTGTGTGTTTCAGTGTGAGTGTCATTGTGTATGTGTAGGTGTGTGTGTTGTGTGTCTGTTTCAGTATGAGTGTGATTGTATACATGTTGTATACATGTAGGTGCATGTGTTTCTGTGTGTTACGTGTCTGTGTGTTTCAGTGTGTATGTGAGCATGTGTGGGGGGTGTGTGTCGTGTGTGTCTGTGTGTTTCAGTGTGTATATGTGCATATGTGGGGGTGTGTGTGTTGTGTCTGTATTTCAGTGTGAGTGTGGGTGTGTATATGTAGGTGTGTGTTTCTCTGTGTGCTGTGTGTCTGTGTGTTTCAATGTCAGTGTGGGCATGTATGTGTAGGTGTGTGAGTGTTGTGTGTCAATGTGTTTCAGCATGTGTGGTTGTGTACGTGTAGGTGCATGTGTCTCTGTGTGTTGTGTGTGTGTTTCAGTGTGTATGTGTGCGTGTGTGGGGGTGTGTGGTGTGTGTTTCAGTGTGAGTGTGGGTGTGTATGTGTAGGTGTGTGTGTCTGTATATTTCCATGTGACTGTGGATAGGTATGTGTCTGTGTGTGTTGTGTGTCTGTCTTTCAGTGTGTGAGTGTGACTGTGTGTGTAGGTGTGTGTGTGTTTTGTGTGTGTGTGTTCGGGTGTGAGTGTGACAGTGTGTGTTTAGGTGTGTGTGTTGTGTGTCTATCTTTCAGTGTGTGAGTGTGACTGTGTGTAGGTGTGTGTGTGTTGTGTGTCTGTGTGTTCGCGTGTGAGTGACTGTGTGTGTAGGGGTGTGTGTATGTGTGTCTGTGTGTTCGGGTGTGAGTGACTGTGTGTAGGGGTGTGTGTATGTTGTGTGTTCGGGTGTGAGTGACTGTGTGTGTAGGGGTGTGTGTATGTTGTGTGTGTGTTGGTGTGAGTGACTGTGTGTGTAGGGGTGTGTATGTTGTGTGTCTGTGTGTTCGGGTGTGAGTGACTGTGTGTGTAGGGGGTGTGTGTATGTTGTGTCTGTGTTGGGTGTGAGTGACTGTGTAGATGTGTGTGTGTTGTGTGTCTGTGTGTTGGTGTAGGTGTGGCTATGTGGCAAGTGTGTCTGTGAGGAAGGTTGAGCAAGGGTGTCAGGAAAGGCCCTGGCTACACTGGTTCCTGGAGGCAGATGAGGAAGCCTAGGAAACAGGCCTTGGAGTGCGCCCAGGGCTCCTCCCTGGGTTCCACACAGGAGCCATCACTGCACATTTGTGCGTCCCATCTTTAAATGACACCATAACAGGCCTTCCTAGGAACCAGCGTATGCACCAAGCCTGCATTCTGTGTGCCGTGGGACACAAGCTCCAGCCTCCACCCACCAGTGGCTTCTTCCTTCCTAACTGACCGCAAGTGCGAGAGGGATTCCCATCAGTGAGTGACTGTGTGTGTAGGGGTGTGTGTATGTTGTGTGTCTGTGTTCGGGTGTGAGTGACTGTGTAGATGTGTGTGTGTTGTGTGTCTGTGTGTTCGGGTGTGAGTGTGGCTATGTGGCAAGTGTGTCTGTGAGGGAAGGTTGAGCAAGGGTGTCAGGAAAGAGGCCCTGGCTTCCTGGTTCCCTGGAGGCAGATGAGGAAGCCTAGAAACAGGCCTTGGGTGCGCCCAGGGCTCCTCCCCTGGGTTCCCACACAGGAGCCATCACTGCACATTTGTGCGTCCCATCTTCCCAAATGACACCATAACAGGCCTTCTAGGAACCGAGCGTAACTGCACCAAGCCTGCATTCTGTGTGCCGTGGGACACAAGCTCCAGCCTCCACCCACCAGTGGCTTCTTCCTTCCCTAACTGGCCGCCAAGTCTGGGGATTCCCATCAGGTCCCCAGGATGAGGCCTTTAGGAAACCAGAATATCCAAGCAGAAAGCTCCTCGTGCCTCACACCTGAAGCTTCCTGGCTGCTTCCTTCTCCTCCAAAACCTCTAAGTCCAGCGGAAGCCACTCCAGGACTTGGCGGCACTGGGGAATCATCGGTGTCAGAGTTGACTCTCCCTCACTTCACACTTTTCTGCAGGGTGCCTCTGCTCCTTCGTCCTCTAAGGGAGGGGATTTTCCAGAACTCGTCTCCAGGAACCAGGTGCGGGGAGAGTGACTTCTGGTGCAGGCAGCCCCTCCCCACAGTGTCCATCCCCCACGACTCACCTGTGCATGCTCCAGTCCTGGCCTCCAGTCTCCCTGTGTCTCCAGCAGTTACCATCCTCCAGGACTCCCAGGGGCCCTGGCCTGGCTCCCACCAAGACAATGCTGGGTCCACAGAAGCCTGTGTGTTGCTGAGGGAGCAACCCCTCAAAGAGAAAATGTGTGTGTTAGCATGTGTGTGGCATGAACTTATGCAAAAACCATTGCACAGTCTCTTGCTGCTCTCCCCTCAAGTTCAGCTGCTGATGAAGGGGGAGGAGGAGGAGAGGAGAGCTGTGGGTGTCCACCACCAGCTGCTCTTAAATCCTGCCAGGGCAGGTAGGGTCAGTGTGATTCAACTTGTCCCTGAGGGGTGCAGAGAGGACTCTTCCTGTTCCTTTGCAGCTGAAGGATGATGGCTGAGCCCTGGCAGGCCCTAAGGCTCCTGCTGGCCATTCTATTGACTCTGATGACCTTCACCTACCAAGCAAGGAAGAAAACCTTTCTAAGTGTCCATGAAGTGACGGCAGTAGAAAACCATGCGAAGGACACCTTGCAATGGATCACCGACCAGTACAACAAGGAAAGTGATGACAAGTACCACTTCAGGATCTTCCGAGTCCTGAGAGTCCAGAAGCGGGTGAGTGTATGACTTCCCGCCTCTCCCTAGGCCTGATACGTCCACATCAGGTGGCCACTGGTGTCAGGAATAGTCCCACTCAAGGGAAATTCAACCTTGCTTAGTTTGAAGTGAGCACTTTAAGAGAAGCATAAATTCACTAGGGTGAATGAAGTTACGGCACTTAAACGAAACCCAGGGCCAGGGATCCTCAGCACATTACATCCCAAAGGCCAAATCTGCCTGCTGCCCACTTTTGTAAGTCGTGTTCTTGTGACTCAGCCATGCGCGTGGGTGTGCTTTGTCTGCCACTGCTTGCTGCTGCCACACTCACGCTGAACTGAGTAGTTACAGAGACCGCATGGCCTAGAAAACCTACAATGTTTACGATGTAGTCCTTTACAGACCCCTATCCAGAACCACTAGCATCACTTGTGTTATCCAAGGGATAGATTTGCCCAAGGGGAAAGATCATGTTTCTGATGGTTTCTGGTTAATTCTCTATGAATGACAAAAACAATCATGAGTCAAACAGAAAGAGGAGAGAGGAGCCCGCCCAGGACCAGGTCCTTGCCCTTGGATGCAGGGTAGCGGAGCTCCCAGGCACAGAAACCACAGACAGGGGAGAAGGAGACACGCTGTACCTCCCCACCACCTGCCGCCCACAGGTCACTGACCACTTGGAGTATCACCTGAACGTGGAAATGCAGCGAACCACCTGCCAAAAGCCAGAGACCATGAACTGTGTCCCCCAGGAAGGGGAACTTCACAAGGTATTGGGTAAAAGCACTTTAACTTAGACAGAAGTCCTTTTCAGTGAGGTTTTTCTGTGGCTTTAGAATGAGTTGGGAAGAATTAATTGGAATTTACTCAAGCTGGCTTGAAAGAATGCATGGGTAACACCTCCTTTCTCAGAGAGGAAAAGCAAAGGTGCAGACGGCTGGGATGCTGCTCCTTTGTTGCTGGAAGGAGTGTGAGGAGGCTGAACGTATCCAGAGAGAGGAGTTGAGGTGGCCGAGCTGCAGGGGCACACTCTGGGGTGAGGGAAGCAGACAATTCTTAATATTTGAGCAGCCTGTGGGAGGGACATAGCAGGTGCGCTGACTGAATACCTCAGTGTCAACATGACAAGGCTGCACAAGTGCTGGGCCGCATGAGTGCTGGGCTGCTGTCCTCTCTCATTTCATCCAGCTGTGTTCATCCAGCGGGAGAAGGAGGGGAGGAAACAAGTTCGGAGATGATTTGACTGGGTGAGGGGCACAAACTTGCATGCGTGTGCTATGCTGGGAAGCCACCACCCCCGAAGGCAGCTCCAGCTCCAAAAGGCCTTCTTCCCACGTGGCACTGGCCCATCTGTGGGACAGTAAGCAGATCCCGACCCACACCACCAGCACCACAGTGTGCATGGGCAGAGTGAACCCTGCATACAAAGCGGCCTTGAAAGTTGCCAATCCTATGCGCCCTACAAATCTCTTGACTTTACCCAAACAAATGAAAATGAGGCTGCCTGGATGTCCCGCTCTGCCTGGCATGGCCCTGATCTATGCCTAACTTCTCAGTGCAATCATTCATAGCATCCCCTGTTGCTTATAAATGTCTCCTGGTTAGGTTCATAAATTATATGATCAGCCTAGTTAAAATGGCCTGGGTGTCCTCAACACAGAAATGTGACCCTCCCTGAGCTCCCTCTGCACTTTTTACATGTTTTTTAGTTCTTCAAGATCTAACAAGGTAGACTTTTTGTTTTTTTCCTGAAGAAGATTGTGAAATCTGCAAAAAGAGTAATTAAAGATGACAGTAAAGTAAAATGAAAGACGATTTTTGACTCGAGAGATTGAATTAGTGGAGTAGGTATTCTGAATGTTATTTTAAGACAAAAGTAAACACTAAAGCCTAGCACCCCTACCCCAGGCTTTCAAATCAAGAGCAACAAAACAAAATTACGCTAAGAAATTATAATTAATAATATGCATAATATGTTTAAAGTATTATTTTTATTATGGAAAAAGGAAGCAAAACAGAGAAGTAAAATTTGGAAGAAAATAGGGATAAGTGAGGAGAGAGATGATGCAATGGACGGATGGATGAAGAAATGAAGCAAGGCTGCAAGCACGGAGAGAGAGGAAGCAAAATCAGGAAGTAAAGATGGATGGGTGGATGGAAGGAGGGATAAATGGAAGAATGAATGGAGATGGATGATGGGTAGATGGAAGGATGGATGGATGGATGGGTTGATGAGTGGACAGATGGGTAAATGGATGGATGGGGGGATGGGTGGAAGGATAAATGGATGGACAAATGGATGGATGGACATATGGGTAGATGAATGGAGGAGTAAATAGATGGTTGGAAGAATGGGTGGATGAATAAATGGAGTCATGAGAGAACAAGTAAGGGAAGAAGTGAGTCTTAAAAAATGAGTAAAAATGAAGAGAGAGAAAAGAATCAGCAGTACCCATGGTGAATATGGGCTGCTCAGACACTTTATTTCTAAATATCTCGTTTGATATTTATTTTGATTTCAGTCACTTGATAGTAACATTGCTGGGATCATTCCAGAAAATGCCCTTCTGTTTGTGGTCAGATAGGATTGTAGGGGTGGAGAGGTGGTGGCCTTTTCTTCATTTTCATGTCTTATATCCTCTTCCTTCTCGTTTTAAATTTCACCTTGCATCTTTTAAAATACTGCCTTTGTTTTTTTATTTTAGCAAGTCAACTGCTTCTTCTCAGTGTTTGCTATACCCTGGTCTGAGCAGCACAAAATTTTGAACAAAACCTGCAGCAGTGACTAGGTGTCCTGGAACATACACCTGTGGTTACTGCATGTGAGAGAATCCTGCAATGAGCAATAATCCTTAAAATAGGCAATAAATGTTTGTCAACATATTCTCTTAAGATCGTGATTCCACTTTTTTTATTTTTCCTTTTAACCAAATTCTTTAGCTCATAGTAATAATCTGAAACTCTGCTGGGCCAGGGCAGTTTAGGGGTCCAAATGAGGTGATCTACATTATTCCTGACCTTATTGCCTACACCGTCATGGTAGCAGAACTTCAATTTCATTATCACATCAGGCAAGATATTAAGATTCTTCAGATTTTAAAATAGTATGGAGAAAATGAGAAGCAGAATGAGGAGAGGGAAGAAGCTCAAAGCAACTGAACAGTCAAGAGATATTTGCAAGTATGGCCTATGATGGCACCTCTGAGGGGCCCAGTGAAGATCACCCTCTCTCCTTGCCTGAAATGCGAAATAAGAAGAAATCACACAAAGAACTGAGAAAGACAAGGCCTTTGCTACTGATGCGATAACCAGGTGGAGAAATGTGCCTTACTTTTGTAGGCAAGTGCACTTTCTAATTGCAAACTCCAGAATTAGACTTCTGCCCCTTTGCAAGAGCAACACTGGACCAAACTAGGTCTGTCTATGAACAAATTCCTCTCCTGGAGGAGCAAAGGGAAATATGTGCTCCCCATGTGAAGGAGGCGGACCTGGTGACAATGCCCAGTTCATTCTTCCCAAACAGACCTGTCAGATTCATCCCAACAGGAGAGGAAGTCCCAAGGACAGGGAGAAGCCAAGTACTCTGTTCAAGGGGCTTTCTTTCCGCAGAGGGCACAGCAGCCACGGGAGGAAGCATCCTCCAACTCCATAGCCTGATTCAAGATCTCAGATGATGTCCCGGGCTCACCCCACTCAACCTCCTCCTCCATGTGGTCGCAGGGAGGCTGCCAGCAGCTCAATGGGTTAGGTGTGTCCTCCTTCATGTCCAGTAAGAAAGAGAGGAAGATCTTGTTCCCAAGAGCTCAGGCAAAAGCCCTGGGTTTAATACCACAGGCGAGGTCTAGGAACACCATAGCGTGTGCATGCGTACACACACACACACACACACACAAACACACACGGCTTTCATCTCCTTGCGGGGAGAGGGAGTTGGGGTATTTATCCAACAGTTCAGTTCCCGTCAGTATTGGCTCTTAGGGGGCATGAATTCCCTAGTACCTCTGGCCTGAGGCAGCTCCAGGGCAGAGTAAGCAGCAGAGACAGTGCACAGATAAAGGGGCACAGGGTCTGGCACCTGGAAGTCGAGCTGATACACACAGAAAGTGAGAGATTTGAGAGATTATAGGCAGAGCACTGACAGGAGAGCTCTTGCACGTGTGAATTGTCAGCTGAGATGAATGTCAGCAACACCAAGTCTCACCAAGATAGGGTTGGCTTTGAAAGAACAAATCATTTTTTTGGCTTTTACTCTCACTATTGAAGTGCTGGAATGCCCAGGACCCTGTTTCAGTGGGGAGCCCAGGTGGGGTTTCCCTCCGCTAACTGCCTGGGATGATGTTAACCTACAATGTCTTCATCTTTAACTGAGAACAACAGCACCTACTCCTTGAGGCAGTTGCAAAGATTGATGATGATAATGCATATACATTGCTTAACACAGTGCCTACCACAAAGCAGGCATTCAAATACATATTAACCATTAGTAGGAACACTGGCAGTGGCAGTGGTAGTAATTTAATACTAGTCAACGTTCAACACTTTTCTGACATTTTTGGCTATGGTGTCCCCAAAGCAGGCATTATTATTCCTGGGGAGATTAAAAAGAGAAGGTGGAACATTTATGCCCATTAATCTCTTGGATTTCTCAGCCAATGTTGTGGGGCTTTCTTTGAACTTTTTAAAAAAATTAGTGTATGTTTCCAGGAATTTACAAAGGTAGTACAGAGAAGTCCCCTGTGTCTTTCCTGTAGTTTCCCCTAATGGTTATCTCTTATCACATCATAGAAAAATATCACAATTAGGAAGCCATCATTGGTACTGTGTGTGTGCCATTGAGTCACATGTGTACATTTGTGTAACCAGCACCACGCTCAAGACACAGCACTGCTCCATCACCAGAGAGCTTTGCTGTGCTGCCTCCCTGTACTAAGCCAGGGCCTGGGTGCCCACTCTTGTCTTGATGCTGGCTCAGGTCCACCCTTCCTGTTTGCCAGTTATGAAAGCAAGGTGGGCAGGGGGTGGTGGTGGGAGAGTTCACTTTAAAAAATTAAAAATAATGCCACAAAATTTGGTAAAACATTATAAAAAGAATAGAGTGTCCATATGAAATTGTATTTAAAGAGATAGAAATACACATTGGGTACAGCGTGCACGGCTCAGGTGAGAGGTGCGCCAAAATCTCAGAAATCACCACAAAAGAAGTTATCCATGTAACCAAACAGCACCTGTTCCCCAAAAACCTATTGAAATAAAATAATAAATAATAACAATAACAATAATAAGAGATGACTAAAGTTGGAAAGCAGAAAAAAGAGAAATAGTACAATTAGACCATATAAATAAAAGGTGTTCAAAAAGTAAGAACTTAGAGATTGAACAAAATTTAAATTGATAAGTAAGTAACATTAGAAAAACAAATTAGGTAAAAAACAAAAAATGTTTAAAAGTCTTGAGCAAAAAATAGCTAAAGGCTAAACATAAGCACATCTGATTACCCACTAACTCTTAGGCATATATCCAATAGAAACACATGCATGTGGCCAGGCACAGTGACTCACGCCTGTAATCCCAGCACTTTGGGAGCCCGAGGCGGGTGGATTGCCTGAGGTCAGGTGTTCAAGACCAGCCTGGCCAACATGGTGAAACCCCATCTCTACTAAAAATACAAAAAAAATTAGCTGGGCATGGCAGTGGGCACCTGAATTCCTAGTTACTTGGGAGGCTGAGGCAGGAGAATCCCTTGAACCCGGGAGGCAGAGGTTGCAGTGAGCCAAGATCGTGCCACTGCACTCCAGCCTGGGCAACAAGAGCAAAACACTGTCTCACAAAAAAAAAAAAAGAAAGAAAGAAAGAAAAAAAAAAAAAAGAAGCACATGTAATGTGTCTAGCATTAGACAGGTACATGCATGCTTGTTAATAGCTATTGTTGTTAGAAGCTGAAAATGACCCAAAAGTACGTTATCAGTACAATAAATTGTGGTATATTTACACAATGGAATTCTATACAATAATGAAAGTGAACTATAACTACACAAGACAACACAGATGTATTGAATTCAAGAAGCCAGAAACAAAAGAATATACATTGTATGACTCCATTTCTAAAAATGCAACCAACAAGCTATGTTAAGCTAAGATGTTAGAATCTGGACAGAGGCTGCCTTTGGAGGCTCTTCATCTATAAAGTGGAGGAAAAGCTGCCATTTCGTAGGGTGGCCATGATGATCAAATGGGACAATGTGGGCAGCCGACCAGTGTTGGTCACCTAGTCAGCCCTCAATTAGCTTAGATTTGCAGGTCTGGGTGCTTTCTGGCCTTTTTGTTTTTGTGATGTTTGTGGGGAGGTTGTTTTTGCACAGGAATTTCACCTCCTTTAATTATTTTCCTCCATCCTCTCTTCTCCCTCAGGTCTTGCTGTCAAGTTTGAGGTTCTTGCTCTGAGTTTATTCTTTCTTTTTAGCAATACTCCCTCAAGTTGCCGTTATGACTGGCTGGTGGCACTGGTGCCTGGGAAGAGGCTGAATGGTCAAGTGGTACAATAGGCACACTGTCAGCCATTGTCTGTGGCTGTGAGACCATTTCTGGTCTAACATGTACCTTCTCTAATCAACTGTCAGCCAGAGAAGGGGAGAAAACACAGGTCTTGTTTTAGCAGCCACAAGAATATGGGAGGCTGCTCAATGACTCAGTGTGCAGAAAAGAGTTTGCACGGCCCGCCTGAACTGCTGTCTTTAGAAAGACTGCTTGCAGGCTGGGCGTGGTGGCTCAAACCTGTAATCCCAGCACATTGGGAGGCCGAGGCAGGCAGATCATAAGGTCAGGAGATCAAGACCATCCTGGCCAACATGGTGAAACCCCGTCTCTACTAAAAATACAAAAAAATTAGCTGGGCGTGGCAGCATGCACCTGTAGTCCCAGCTACTAGGGAGGCTGAGGCAAGAGAATTGCTGGAACCTGGGAGGCAGAAACTGCAGTGAGCCAAGATCGTGCCACTGCACTCCAGCCTGGCAGCAGAGAGACTCCATTAAAAAAAAAAAAAAAGGAAGGAAGGAAGGAAGGAAGGAAGGAGGGAAGGAAGGAAGGAGGGAAGGAGGGAAGGAGGGAGGGGAGGGAGGGAGGGAGGGAGGGAGGAAGGAAGGAAGGAAGGAAGGGAAGGAAGGAAGGAAGGAAGGAAGGAAGGAAGGGAGGCAGGCAGGCAGGCAGGCAGGCTGCTTATAAGGCTAGCCTGGGCTGGAGTTGAGAACCTGGAGGGTCAACAGTTTGATGGAAAACTTTTCCTACATGATAAGAGGGCCTCAGTGTGTCTACACTCTCTGTACAGCAGTGAGGTTGATGTTGAACCCCTGCTGTCCTCCAGGAGTCTGGAATTTCTGCATATGCAGGCAGAGCTGCCTTCATGACCAGCCCCAGTAAAAACCCTGGCTGCTGGGTTTTAGAACTTCTTTGTGACACATACTGTCACAGCTCACTTCTGGGGAGTGCCCAAGGCGTGCTCTGTGTAATGGCACTGGGAAGCAATACGTAAAGGAAGGAAGGAAGGAAGGAAGGAGGGAAGGAAGGAAGGAAGGCAGGCTGCTTATAAGGCTGGCCTGGGCTGGAGTTTGAGAACCTGGAGGGTCAACAGTTTGATGGAAAACTTTTCCTACATGATAAGAGGGCCTCAGTGTGTCTACACTCTCTGTACAGCAGTGAGGTTGATGTTGAACCCCTGCTGTCCTCCAGGAGTCTGGAATTTCTGCATATGCCAGGCAGAGGCTGCCTTCATGACCAGCCCCCAATAAAAACCCTGGCTGCTGGGTTTTAAGGAACTTCTTTGTGACACATACTGTCACAGCTCACTTCTGGGGGAATTGAGCGTGCTCTGTGTAATGGCACTGGGAGAGGACTCCAGAAGCTCCCGCCTGGTTTTCTGAACCTTTTGCTTTTGCTGGTTTCGCCCTGTGTCCCATTGTTGTCATATCACAGCTGTGAGAATGACACTAGGCTGAGTCCTGTGAGTCCTCTAGTGAGTCACTCAATGTGATTTTGGTCTTGGGAATCTCAGACACACTCACAAAACTGTGTGTGAGTCACAGTGTTGTGTGTGTGCTGGGAAGAAATAGGGCTCCCCACACTAGAGTCAGAACTAGGGTTGTTTTCACACAGGAATTTCACCTCCTTTAATTCTCTTCCTCCATCCTCTCTTCTCCCTCAGGTCTTGCTGTCAAGTTTGCGGCTCTTGCTCTGTGTTTATTCTTTCTCTTTAGCAATACTCCTTCAAGTTGCCATTATTTCCGAAAAGCCATAGAGAGGTGGGGTGGTGTAGAAAGAATGGTGAGGTTTCAAGCCGGGCATGGTGGTTCACGCCTGTAATCCCAGCACTTTGGAAGGCAGAGGTGGGTGGATCACAAGGTCAGGAGATCAAGACCTGGCTAACACGGTGAATCCCCATCTCTACTAAAAATACAAAAAATTAGCTGGGCAGGCTAATGGTGGTGAGTGCCTGTAGTCCCAGCCACTCGGGAGGCTGAGGCAGGAGAATGGTGTGAACCCAGGAGGCGCAGCTTGCAGTGAGCAGAGATCACACCACTGCACTCCAGCCTGGGCAACAGAGGGAGACTCCGTCTCTTTGAAAAAGAAAGAATGATGAGGTTTCCCCAATGATTATGAGCATTCTGTTCTAATTACACAAGCTGGGTGGGCATGGTGGCTTGCGCCTGTAATCCCAACACTTTGGGAGACTGAGGCAGGAGGATCATTTGAGCCCAGGAGTTCATGACCAGCCTAGGCAACAAAGGGAGATATTGTCTCTACAAAAAGAAGTGTTTTAAAAAGTTAGCTGGATGGCCAGGCGTGGTGGCTCATGCCCGTAATCCCAGCACTTTGGGAGGCTGAGGCAGGCAGATCACAAGGTCAGGAGATGGAGACCATGCTGGCTAACACAGTGAAACCCTGTCTTTACTAAAAATACAAAAAATTAGCCAAGCATGGCGGTGGGCACCTGTAGGAGACAGGCAGGGGAATGGCATCAACCCAGGAGGCGGAGTTTGCGGTGAGCCAAGATCGCACCACTGCACTCCAGACTAGGCGACAGAGCGAGACTCCATCTCAAAAAAAAAAAAAAAAAAAAAAATTAGTTGGACATGGTGGTGTGCTACTGTAGTCTCAGCTACTTGGGAGGCTAAGGTGAAAGGATCACTTGAGCCCGGGGAAGTCGAGGCTTCAGTGAACTGTGATTGTGCCACTTCTCTCCAGCCTGGGCAACACAGCAAGACTGTGTCTCAAAAAAAAAAAAAAAAAAAAAAAAAAAAGAGAGAAAAGATTGCACCAACCCCTGAAGACCACTGAAAGTGTGTGTGAGTGTGCCTGTGTTTGACATGTATGAGTGAGTGGGTGGGCGGGTGGATGAGTGTGTGAGGCTGTTAAAGTGGGTGTGCCTGTATGTGAGTGGTGAGAGTATGAGGCTGTCGTGAGTGTGAGCGTTGTGTGTGGGGGTTGTGAAGGTAAGTGTGTGCATGTGTGTGTGCGTGTACAATCATGTGTATGTGCATGTGTGTGTGTGCATGTGTAATGAGACCCCAATGAGGGAGACATGATCCTTTACAGTTTATTAACAGCCAGTGCACACAACTCCGTCTGAGCCCTCATCCAGGTTTCTGCTCACACATGCTCAGGCTACTTGAACAGGAATTGTTCCAGAGCTGGAAATAGTTTATCCAGGGCACGGTGTATATCAAAGACTCGCAAATTAAACTCTGTGGAAGAAGAAAGAAAACAGACTTTGGGGGAAGTATTTTTCAAAGGCGAGCAACAGGTGCCTGTTCCCCAGGTCTGTCCCTGTGGCACATCACCCAGACTATCGGCAGAGAGAGGGCTGCCTGATCAGGGTAGAAACAGAAAGGGCCAGTCTGCAACGAGGAATGTCACCCTGTCTTCCCCCTACCCAGCCACTTAGGACCAATTTTGTTGTTCAGCTGGAGCCTGCGGCCTGGCAGGGCAGCTGTGATATGGACCAGGCAGGCAGCAAGAACAGCCCAGCATCGTCCCCTCCTCCCCTGCACCTCCTAGGCATGGGGAGCCCTTGTATCCTGCCAACTTTCAAGGGGTGCCACTGACGGACCACAAAAATAGGAGAGAGAACAAGGAGGAAATTGGACAATGCTTAGAGACCTGGAGAGGGAGAGAGAAGACAGAAGAAAAAATAGGAGGGAACAAGGAGGAAATTGGACAATGCTTAGAGACCTGGAGAGGGAGAGAGAAGACAGAAGAAGGACCCCAAGGAAAGGGAAACACTACTTTCACACAGAGGGTCTCGGGAGCGGGCCAGGCTGGAGAAGGGTCCAGGCGACTAGAGGCCTGGGTGCAGGGCTGTACCAGCCCAAATATAAAACCTCCCTCCTTCCCCCTTAGGAGGTGCCAGGCAGCTCCAGGGCTGGGCCCCAGCTGGCCCCAATCCACATAAGTGGAAAAACTGCCAACTTCTAGCTGTTGCTTTTTAAAATGTTCACTTCACAAGTCCCTTTGGGATGACTCCCACTACACACCTTTCTCAGCTTCTTGCTTTGCAGGGGACAGGAAGAATTGCTCGTGTCATTCCTCTTGCATTTGGTCCGGCCAATCTTCACGGTGACTATATACTCCACTCCTGTCGTCAGCTGCAGAGAATCAGTTGTGCTGTTAGTGTGCACTCCAAGCATCCAGTGGCTGAACCTCTCCTGAGGAAGCTAGGACTGAGAGTAAAGCCCCCAGAGCCATAGTCCTTGTTCCCGGAGCTTACCCACCAAAAGCAGGGCTCCCTTCTCCCTACTTCTGGCTGGAGGGAGGGCAATGGCAGCCAGAGCCCCTGGTCATAGGTTGGTTTGCTGCAGCGGCCACAGAAAGCTTCTCACCTGCCTCCTTTCCATCCTCAGGACAGAAGAGGTAACATGAAGCTGGGTTGCCTGGCCACCACAGGCCACTCCCAGGCTGCCTCATGTGGCCTTCATAATGCAACAGAGTCAGCATCTTGTCCCCACCCTCCCAGTCCCTTCTGCCACTTCCTGTCTCCCTACTATCCTTCCTGACCAACCTAGCGGAAGGCAGCTTAGCAATACAGTTAAAAACAGTTTTGAAATCAAATTGATTTGGGGCACGCATTTTCCATTTACTGACTGACCTTGAGCAAGCTACTTAGCATCCTCAGCTTTTCCACTTACAAAGTACAAATCACAATTGTGCCTGCTCATGGAGTTGTTATGTGGGCTAAATGGAAGCATGCATTTCCCTTAATGCATAAAATACATTTTAAATATTTTCATAATTACAAATTATTAAATGTTTTAGCAAAGTGTCTGCACTGTTACTTTGAAGCAGATTCAGTGTTAGGAGAGTGACAGAACACAAAATCTGGCTTTATCCCCTGCAGACTCTGTCACCATGGGGGAGTCCCTCCATTTTCCTGAGCCTCAGTTTCCTCATCTAGGAAACAAGGAGAATAATGCCAGTTTCCTATTAGCATGTACAGAAATGAAGGAAGGAGGCGTGGTGGGTACACGAGCCACGGAGAACGCACACCAGGGATTTCCCCATGGCTCTTTCACTTGTGATCAAGTGTGAGGCCGTGAACCCTACAGGGGTTGGAGCCTGGAAAAGCCCTTGTGGGCAGGGAGGTCCTATGCCCAGAAAGGAGACTCTAACAGAGAGCTTGGGGGTTACAGTTCCCTGTCCGGTTCTGAGCTGGATTCCCTGAGTAGATGTGCAGATTAGTGGATCTTCACCAGTGCAGGAGAAGCTCTGGGAGGCTCCCTGCTGCCTTGCCTTGTCACTGGTCAAGCCCATCGAGAGGGCTTGGTCGTCTCTGGGGTGGTGACTGACGCAAAGAGTACCCACACTGCTCCTGGGAGGAAGACACCCTCAGCAAATACTGGGACAGGGAAGCAGGGGGGCTAGGCCTGAGGGCAGTACCAGGCTCCCAGCACCCAAGCATGCAGGGGCCATCCACGCATGGGCATTTGTAGGGCTGTACCAGGCATGGTCACACTGACTTTCAGCACGCTCGGAATGTAAGAAAAAACTAAACCACCAGTCATCACTGTAACTGACGTTCCAGTGTGCAAAGAGTTATTCGTTATTAGACTTATTTGTCTGATAATGACAGGAGTAGTAGTAATAATGGCAACGATTTTTACAAGTGCTATTAAATGTTGGCACTGTGATAAGTACTTCCCTCCTATTCTGAGCCACTTCGCAGGTGAAGCAACTGAGGCCTGGAGAGTCTGGATGTCACTTGACCAAGAGTCTCAATCAGAAGGAGCTGGGCGTGAGGCCCCAGAGGCACCTGACAGCCCTCCATGCCTGCCCTTGTCCCCTCTGTGAGGTGTAAGGACAGACACAATCGTTGTCTGGGTGCGGGGGTGCCCAGAGGCCCATGCCAAGATCCACCCAGCTACCAGGAGGCACGCCTGCTCTGTCTCCTTATCAATATGAATGACATCAAATGCTCATCATTATTCTTTAACAGCTAACTTAATGGTAATTGATTGATTTCACAAGACAAGCCTCCTTGGGGTCTCAACCAATTGAGGAAGAACCAAGAACCAAATGGACAACATCGCCATCTTGTGGTAGTAGTGCCTCACTGAGCTAGTCCGCGGGACAGTCTGCACTGGGATAAGGATTTGACCTACGCTGACTGGTCCTGCCCACCCTGCCCTCCCTCCTTGCGGGTTCTCTCAGTTCCAGCTGCCTTACTCTCTGGCCAAAGAGCTTTCCCATAGCCAGTTGTGTTTTCCCAAATCCAGCTAATTGAACTAGGACATAGCATTGTTGCTGCCCCAACTTCTACAGTCAGCCCTCTGTACTTATGAGCTCCACATCTGTGGATGCAAACAACTGTGCATCAAAATATTCAGGAAAAAAAATGTATGGTTGCCTCTATCCTGAACATTTTTGTCTTGTAATTAATCACTAAACGGTACAGTATAATAATTATCTACATAGCATTTACACTGTACCAGTTTTACAATTAATCTAGAAATGATTTACCATATGTAGGAAGATGTGCATAGGTTATGTGGAAATGCTATTCCATTTTACACAAGAGACCTGAGAATCCGTGGATGTGGGCACCCTGAGGGGTCCTGGAACCAATTCCTCATGGACGCCAAGGGTGACTGTATAATTTATTATCTGACCTTGAGGAAATGTTAGACCACTAAAAATGGTTCCCAAACAACTTTTCTTTCTTCTATTATCCTTCAATTAATATATTTCGGAGAAATTTTATATGTAAAACAGAAGGTGAGGTGATCTGGCTGAACCCTACTTCTCACATCCCCTCCACTTCCAGAATAAACCCTCTGTGTAATGTGAAGTTTGTATAACACAGAAAACCCAGTTTTGAATTTTACAACCCTGGACATTGAAAAAATATTGGGGGCTACAGGCCTACAAAGAATATTTGTATTTTGCCAAATAAGAACTTTAAAGGGAGCAAAATCATCCTTGCTGTCACTCTGGCAGGGTCAAATATCAGAATGAAAGGCAATTCTTCCCAAGGAAAAAGAGTTGGCCAGGCATGGTGGCTCATGCGTGTAACCCCAGCACTTTGGGAGGCCAAGGCGGGCAGATCACCTGAGGTCAGGAGTTTGAGACCAGCCTGGCTAACATGGTGAAACACTCTTTCTACTAAAAATACAAAAAATTAGCTAGGCGTGGTGGCGCACACCTGTAATCCGAGCTACTCGGGAGGCTGAGGCAGGACAATCGCTTGAACCCGGGAGGTGGAGGTTGCGGTGAGCCGAGATTATGCCATTGCACTCCAGCTTGGGCAACAAGAGCAAAACTCCATCTCACAAAAAGAAAGAGAGAGAGAGAGAGAGAGAAAGGAAGGAAGGAAGAGTTTAATCCTCAGTGAACATTGTTGTTTCTAAGTGTAATGGAGTTAGAGTTCATGCCAGTCCTTAGAAAAGAATTTTAGAAGCATGGCCGAGGACAGTCTGGGATCTGAACAACTCTACAATGGACCCACTACACGTGAAAATGCTCCCCACTCGGGACGTCATGGAGAACCCCTGCTCGGTTGTTTCGGGAGCCACCCCAGAATCCTCACGTGTCTGAAAGGGCAAGAACGGGGCCTGCTGATGTCTGGGAAGAGCAAGGTACAAACCTGCATCTGACTTCGAGTTAGCTTCTGAACTCGATATAAGTAGGTGTCGTTGCTGGCATTGTTGTAGGACTGAATGAAGAAGTTAAGCGTTGAATTCATGTTCTTCTTGCTCATAGGCTTCTCCTGGAAGCCCTCCCACCTTTGGAAGTGACCCAGCTTGGCCGACAGGACCAGGGCAATCAGCAGCAGCAGGGGGTTTCTCCAGCATCTGATCCCCATGTCTACAGCCTCGGAAACCTTCTTCTCAACTGCACCTTCCAGGGTGTGGTGGTGCCAGGCAGTAGCTCACTCGTTCTCCCACGGTGACCCTCACCAACATAGGCTTTCCTGGGGGATGGCCTACCTGCATTTAAACAGAGATTCAAACTGAACCTTGTCACTCACTTTCCAGTCAGTCAGTTCATTTTCTACCCATTTACACCACCCATTCAGTTCTTTGGTGATCCAGGCAAGCAAAATTTTTAAACACCTGCCAAGGTGTGCAAGCCCCTCTCCCTGCCTTCACAGGTCTCAGGGAAGAAAGCCCCCAGAACAGCCCCTCCAGTGCTCTGCAATAGGATCTGGGTCATAGAGAAGCATCACTTACGGGAAGGGAGGAGGCCTTATGGAGAAGGTAGTATCTGAACTGAGATATAAGGAAGCAGTCATATGGAGCAAGAGGTGGTACATTCTTCTTACCTACCTTGGGCTCCAACTGTCTTACCAAGCCACCACCTGTTCCCTGTGCTTCCTTTAGAGACACGTTCTCCTTGCTCACCTGCCACCCACCCACCACAGATTTCTGCCTGCGGGATCCCCTTGTACCTGCAGGCCCTGCCCTGGCTTTTGCTACCTTGTTGTGACCCTAGTGGAGCTTTGTGAGGTAATTGCAGCCTCCCTATGAGGGACGAATAAGGTGTGAGCCCCATTTAGACATTATCCTGCAGACCCCTGAAGATTAGGTGTCACTTACCCCCAAAAGTCCATGAGTGCCCTATTTTAAAAACATTTACTGGCTGGGCACTGTGGCTCACTCCTGTAATCCCAGCACTTTGGGAGGTTGAGGTGGGTGAATCACCAGAGGTCAGGAGTTCGAGATCAGCCTGGCCAACGTGGTAAAATCCCGTCTCTACTAAAAATACAAAATTAGCTGGGTGTGGTGGCATGCACCTACAGTGCCAGTTACTCGAGAGGCTGAGGCAGGAGAATCACTTGAACCCAGGAGGTGGAGGCTGAAGTGAGCCGGGATGGTGCCGCTGCACTCCAGCCTGGGTGACAGAGTGAGACACTGTCTCAAAAAAAAAAAGAAAAAGAAAAAGGAAAAAGGAAAAGCAAAAAGCAGCAGAAAAAACACCCTAAATGGAATCCCACCAGAACAAAACATTAGTGGAATAGTTGATGAAATGTGAATAAAATCTGCAGATTAGTTAATAGTATTGTGTGAATGTTGATATTCTAGTTTTCACCGTTGTACTGTGATTGTATAATACGTTAAAATTTGGGGAAGTGGAATGAAGGGTATATGAGAATGCTTTACGCTATTTTTGCAACCTTTGTTTAAGTCTGAAATTATTCCAAAATAAAGGTTAAAATGTCCAAAAGTAAATAAAGCATTGTTCTATGAAGAGTAGCGTGCTGAGGAGGGGGGAAGCAGGAGCCTTAGGATCCAACTGTCCTGGCTCAAGTCCTTCACTGGGGACTCTGGGAGAGTTACCTCATCTCCCTACACTGGGTTCTTTATCTGTAATATAAGAATGAGGAGAAAGACTCCTCTTGGATTGTGGTAGAGACTAACTGGATATAGGCAAAGAACCTGCTCCCAAGTCAGGTGTCGGTGCATAAGAACATCTTCTTCGTGATTCTTCTGTGACTCTGAACCCACACTTAACCCTTGGCCTGGTCAGGTCCCTCCTGTCCCGGAAGCCAGGCCACCTTCCATCATGACAATGTTGCTAGCACCTGTCACAATATCCTCCCTTGGACCCAGAGCCTGTCTGGAAAGGACTTGTCCAGCCAGTGGAGGTGATATGTTTGAAATTCCCTGAGCCTGAGCTGCCGAGGGCCACTAGCTGTAGAATAGATAATGAAGGATTCTGAGTAATAGGGGAGGCCACTCAGACCTGGGTCATCTCAGAACCCGCCAGACACCTGGAATACTCCTGTCAGACTGAGGCCCATAGAGAGGAAAAATAACATTGGGTGGGCCATAGTAGAAACCCCATGGACATGGGGCTCAAAGCATAAACAATACATCTGCTTAAAAACATGGGAGTTGGTTGCATCTGTAAAGAGGAAAATGAGTCACTGGCAATTTTAATTGAAGAAAAGGAAAACACAGACCCTGGCTATGCTACAGAAGGAGATGCGAGGGGCCTAACAGGTCACACTGGCATTCCTTAGCTTGTGGCAGTAGAACGCTGATCTCTGACTCTGTGGACATGGAATCAGGAAAAAATACGATTCTGGTAATGTGCATGTGTAAAGGGAGACAGGGAGCTTGGTTACAGCATGGAATGGGGCAGAGCATAGTGGCTGACGCTTGGGGGCTGAGGCTGGAGGATTGCTTCAGCCCAGGAGTTCCAGACCAGCCTGGGCAACATGATGAAACCCTGTCTCTACAGAAAATAAAAAAATTAGCCAGGCATGGTGGCGCATACCTGTAGTCCCAGTTACTCGGGAAGCTGAGGTGGGAGGATCGCCTGAGCCCAAGAGAAGTCGAGGTTGCAATGAGCTGAGATCGCACCAAGCACTCCAGCCTGAGTGACAAAACAAAGGGAAATAGAGGACTTAGTTGTCTGGTTACTGCCATGAAATAATGGAAAAGTAGGGGCCTGAGTATTTCCATGGAACAAGAGTAAATTAGGAGTGCTGGCTATAACAAATAGGAGCCCTGTCTGTTCTTGCCAATAAAAGAAGGGGAAAATAGGAGCTCTGGTTAGACAATGGAATAGCAGGAAATGTAGGGTCTGCTCATGTCCGTGGAATGAGGGGCATAGGAGAGAAGGATTGCAAAAGGGCATGAGAAAACTTCAGGTGATAGATATGTCTGTTGTATGAATTGTAGTGATGATTCCACAGATGCATACGTACGACAAATCTCATCAAATTGTACACTTTAAATATGTGCAATTTGGCCTGGCGCAGTGGCTCACACCTGTAATCCCAACACTTTGGGGAGGCCAAGGTGGGCAGATCACATGAGGCCAGGAGTTCAAGATCTGCCTGGCCAACATGGTGAAACCCCATCTCTACTAAAAAACACAAAAATTAGCCGGGGAGCACACGCCTATAGTCTCAGCAACTCTGGAGGTGAGGTGAAAGGATTGCTTAAGCCCTGGAGGTCTAGAATGCAGTGAGCTGTGATTGTGCCACTGCACTCCAGCCTATCCTACAGAGTAAGACCCCGTCTAAAAAGAAAGAAAGAAAGAAAAAGGAAGGAAGGAAGGAAGGAAGGAAGGAAGGAAGGAAGGAAGGAAGGAAGGAAGGAAGGAAGGAAGGAAGGAAAGAAGGAAGGAACGTATCTTTCCCAGGAGTCCAGCAAACCAGGCCTCCTATCTCATGAGCTGAACCTGGTAACAGGCCACTGCTGGACCAGGCATGATGGCAAGTGTGGGATTCCTGTTGGATCAACCCGTGGCTTGGTGCTGTGTGGATGAGATGGTGCGTGTCCCACAGGGGCCCTCTATGAGTTGCAGAACTTTCTGGTTCTCTCTGTTGACGACCAAGCTCAGGATTTCTTTATCAGTCAAGCTCCTAGGAGAAGCAGGAAACAAACAAGAACATGGTGATGTGTTTTATCCCAGCAGGCTCTGCTTGCGTGGGCTGAGGAACCTGCAGACAGGGAGTTTCCTGGCTGTAGCTTTTCATCACTCCTTCACCAGTAGATATGGCACTGGTGCTGGGAAAGGGTCACACTGTGACACTCTCTCCATCAGCTTACATCTGCTATCTGAAATTTTCCCATCACTCTGGGGAAACAAATCATCCTCTGTAAATAACACGGCTGATCTCAGTTGGTTTCTTCTCTCCACTCTCTCTTTTCTTTCTTTTTTTGCTTGTAGCACTATTTGACAAGCTCTGCTTTTTCCCCTAAATAATTTTGTTCTAGGCTGGCTGCTGACCTGGATATAACCCAGGCAGAAAGCAAGTCTATTTGCCACCCGTCTGCTGCCGGGCACCCTCCAAACATGGCCCAGGAAGGAATGGTTAGCAGTCTGTGCCTGCTTGAGGACTCTCCCAGCCATGGCTGCAGGGCGGGGGTAGGGGAGCAGAGTCCACACTGCCAGCAGCAGCTCCCACTGCAGCCCTGAGCCCTCGCCTCCAGGGCAGCGGCAGAAGAACATGGCTGACCTTGGCTGGAAATGCCTTCTGATTCTGGGGAGCAGGCCAGCGGCAGGCGCACAGAATGTCAGCAAACAAGGCGGTGCTACAGATGGCTCCAAACTGGCATCACTCCAAAGGTCCCAGGGTACATTTTCTCTTTCCAGACACAGAAACCTGAGAAATCACAAGGCTTAAAAAGTCAGAGCATGTCACAAGAGGCCAAGGATGTCCAGGGTGGAGGGGCTTATGGGGAGGTCATCGTCCTCACCCAGCCTTTGGTCTCCTTTCTGCAGATGTTTTCCACAACACGGTATCTGTTTACCAGCTCTTAAATAGTCATCAGGTTCCATTTTGAAAGCAAAGAAAAAGCAGGTGGATTCTGCAGGCCTTGACACTCCTGCTTCCACCTTCTCCGGAGATCTTTCTGGTTTTCTGTAAGCAGATGCTCTTCCCACTGAAGTAATGAGCAGCAAAAGCAGAAGAGGGCCAAGAGTTTGTTGAAATCTATAATTAAGACTTCAGGTTCAACTCTTTTGCCCATTTTTCTTTTTGGTTGTCTTCAGTTGATTCGTAGGATTTCTTTATCCTTCTTGCAAATATCATCCTCTGGGTTGTGGTTGTCTTTTCATTTTATTTATGGCATGTTGATGAAAAAATATTCTTAATCTTAATGGAAAGAATGTATTGATTTTTCTCTCATGGTTTGCATTTTTATGTCTTATTTAGGAAATCAAGGTCATAAAGCTACTTTTAAATATTTTTTTCTGAAATTTTAAAAGTTCAGCATTTCCCATTTATGTCCATAATCCATCCAGATATTTGTGCATGGTACGTTTACTAATGTTTTCTTCAGAATTTTTGTATCTATCTTCATGAGTTAAACTGGCTGATGATTGTTTTTTCTCATATTGTGCTTTCCTGGTTTGGGTTTCAAGGTTATACTGGCCTCATCCAATGAGTTGGGGAGCATGTCAGTCTGGGTCTCCACAGTCAGCACAGGCACACTTGCAACAGGAGAGTTCAGGGAAGTTTCCATACAGGGCACTGTGCAATGGTGCAGGTGCACAGAAACCCCAGGGCACAGGGCAAGTGTCTGCAGCTAGCAGCAGCCATGCCAGCAACCCTAAGCCTGAAATATGAGGTAAACAATCTAGAAAGAATTGGAGTGCCAGCTGGCCACCTTGTGGAGGGAGCAGGGGACAAACACCATGATCTCAATCCCCTCTTTCCTCTACCTCATGCCTAGGCATCTTGTTGTCAAACACAAACAGAAGTTATAGGGCACAAGAGCCCTACTGATGGAGTCCACAGCAGCCTGTGTTGTGGAGCAGAGAGCAGCATGGAGAAAGTGCATTAGTCAGGGTTCTCCAGAGAAACACATAGATATGAAGATATTTATTATAAAGGATTGGCTTGTACAATTATGGAGGCCTCGAAGTCCACCATCTGCTGTTTGCAAGCTGGAAACCAAAGACAACCAATGGTATAGTTTGAAGGCCTGAGAGCTGGAGAGCCACGGGTGTAGATTCCAACCCGAGTCTGAAGGCTTAATAACCAGGAGCGCTGAGGACAGGAGAAGATTGATGTCAGAGTCCAAACAGCCAGGCAGAGCTAATTCAACCATCTGCCACTCGGGCACTCAGTGGATTGGATTGGATGGTGTCACTCATATTGGAAGCCATTTGCTTTTACTCAGTCCACTGATTCAAATGCTGACCTTTTCCAGAAACATCCTCACAGACCCATCCAGAAATAACATTTAACAGATAATGGGCATTCTGTGACCCAGTCAAGTTGACACATAAAATTAACCATAACAGAGGGGTAGCAAGTGGAGCTAGGGGGCAAACAGAAATTAGCCAGCGCCAGACGATTTCCCTCTGTCTTAATTCTCTTGAAGAGCTGCTAGTTTTTACCTTTTTACCCATTCCTTTTATGGATTGGGAAAGGGAGATTTTATGATCTGACTTCATTTCATTTCTTTGTCCAGATACTCTCCCAATGTGCAGCTGATTTTCATCATTTGCAGAAGTTATCTTCTATAAAATCTCTGCAAACACAGAAGTAGTAAATGCTAAACCATTGTGCCCAGGAAAAATACAAGGCTTGGTTTCCTTGAGTCTCTGGTTACAACACTTTCTTTCAATTGATCAATATATAACCTCGTTTTATGTGTGTCTCCAGTTAGATGTGTCTTTTAAAACATATATTGTTGACTCGTTATCATCAAGCTCATCACCAACAGCTCTGTAAATGCCTGAATGAAGCTTGTTTAAGACACATTTTCTCCATAAGGCACCTCACAGCCTTCCTGTGCTTAGAAACTAGACAGCACTGCAGTACTATGCCTGGGGCCATTTTAAACAGCAAAATCGCCAACCAAAAAAGCACAAAACCGAAACCACATGTGGTGGCTCATACCTGTAATCCAGCACTTTGGGAGGCCAAGGCTGAAGGCACTTGAGCTCAGGAGTTCAAGATCAACCTGGGTAACACAGCAAGACCCCACCTCTTAAAAACAAACAAACAAACAAACAAACAAACACAAAATTGCAAAATGTGGCAGTAAACAGGCTGTGAAAAAGGACACTTGTTAACAATATAAGAGCTGGAACAAGGCTGGGAGTGGTGGCTCAAGGCCAAGGTGGGTGGATTACCTGAGGTCAGGAGTTCGAGACCAGCCTGATCAACATGGGGAAACCCCATCTCTACTAAAAATACAAAACTTAGCTGGGTATGGTGGCATGTGCCTGTATTCCCAGCTACTTGGGAGGCTGAGGCAGGAGAATTGCTTGAACTGGGTATGGTGGCATGTGCCTGTATCTCAGCTACTTGGGAGGCTGAGGCAGGAGAATCACTTGAACCCAGGAGGCAGGCTACAGTGAGCTGAGATCGAGCCACTGCACTCCAGCCTGGTGACAGAGCGAGACTCCATGTCAAAAACAAACAAACAAACAAAACAACAAACAACTGGAACAAGAAGGTAGAGGTTACGGTGTTTGACCCTCAGCTTGAACATATGTATCAGACCACCCACATTTTCCCACCTGAGTGTCTGCAAAAGTGCCACATGTTGATTTTTAGGATTACAACTTTTAATTTTCAGCAAGTAGGTAAGTTTGCAAATATGAAATCCATGAAAAATAAGGGTTGACTGTGTTTTCAAAGCCAGTTACTACCATGCTAAGAGTAGATTTGTGAAGACCCAGTTCTTCCCACCTGATTACGAAGAAATGCTAGCACCACACCCTAAATAAGCCTGGGACAGTGTAATTTAGTGATGGTAAAATTATTTAACTTTCCGAGACAGTCTTAGATGTTTCCATAAGAGCCAGATGTGATGCAAACCAAATATACCACAGTGGACAAAGGTTTTGTGAAATTTGATTCATTCAACTATTGGCCATTAACAATCAATTACAAACACTTATAGCAACAGAGAAAATATATGTTTCATAAACAAACAAAAAATACAAACTATAAGCGTACTCCTAGTAATACTTACATGTGTGTAAGTTTCATGGATAAAAATGAGATAGCACTATATATGTATAAAAAATTAAAAATGTTTCATTGGGTAGGTAGAATTATGAGCATCTTCTTTTCCTAAAATTTCTCCTAATGTAATATTAAATAATGATGTGAAAGGAATTCAAAGAGTATGTGGGAAATAAACCATTTTTCCCTTTAAGCAATTGTGTCTGTGGGTCATAACCATAACTTACATTAAGCATAGATAAGAAAGGTCCTAGAACATATAATATAAATAAAAAATGTCAAAATGATCTTATGCCCATTTGCCATAAATCAAGGCATCAAGTTAATTTCAAAA